TAATAATTTTATTTTGAATTTTCTTTTAAAATAGCTGACTTTGATTAAGCTAGAAAAATGCCTTATGATTGGTCGTATATTGATGGATAAAATGTTAAATAATACTATCCTATTGAAGGAGCTGTAAATATACTATTAAAAATTAGTTTAAATTTATTTTTATTTTTATTTTAAAGTGCGGAACTATTGGATACTGCCCACCAGAATTAGTCAAAGATTTCTTATACAGTTTTAATGTATGATCATAATATCTAAAATTATTTTTAAGACTTATTTTTTATAAAGAGTGACATTTTCTAAGTTGGAGTTTGTCTTGCACTTATAGACAATTTTGAAACTTTAGAACCAGTACTTGTTAACAAAAGTCTAGATTATTTGAACAACTTTTCAATCCCTTTTGAAGTAAAACAACATAATGAATAAGAAGTTGTTAAAAGGAATACTAAAATTTATGATATACTGCTTTAAACTATTGTTTTCAAACAACATAAAAGGTCCAATTTATCCCTTATTCTAGATGGCTTTTCTAAAAAAGGGTACCAATACCATTCAAAAGTTAATTCAAAGTCAAATTAAGTATTTATAATTAATCTATCCATGCCCATTAATTATTTCAAATTATTAATTAGATTATATCATCCATCTATTAAAGGGTTCTTTCTTTAAATTATCCGTAAATATTTATCATCTTTTAATCTTAAATATTTTTATGTTTGATGGTATTTAGATTAATTCATATTTAATAAGCCAAAATAATTTAAGTTCAGATGGGGCGAAAGCAGTTGCTTCTGAAATAGCTAAATGTACTAATCTCTCCACTTTAACCCTTTCGCTCTAGTAATTTTTTACACATTTTCTCAATTTATAGTTTAAATAAATAATTAAAGAAATCAAAGAATTAAACAATATTTATTTATTTAATTAATTAAGTATTTTTATTAATTTTAATTAGGGTGAATAGTATAGGTTCAGATGGGGCGAAAGCAGTTGCTTCCGAAATAGCTAAATGTACTAATCTCTCCACTTTAAGCCTCAACCTTGGGTAATTTTTTACACATTTTCTCAATTTATAGTTTAAATAAATAATTAAAGAAATCAAAGAATTAAACAATATTTATTTATTTAATTAATTAATTAAGTATTTTTGTTAATTTTAAATAGCTCTAACAACATAGGTTCAGATGGGGCGAAAGCAGTTGCTTCCGAAATAGCTAAATGTACTAATCTCTCCACTTTAAGCCTCAACCTCAGGTAATTTTTTACACATTTTCTCAATTTATAGTTTAAATAAATAATTAAAGAAATCAAAGAATTAAACAATATTTATTTATTTAATTAATTAATTAATTAATTAATTAATTAAGTATTTTTGTTAATTTTAATTAGCTCTAACAACATAGGTTCAGATGGGGCGAAAGCATTTGCTTCCAAAATAGCTAAATATACTAATCTCTCCACTTTAACCCTTGACCTTGGGTAATTTTTTACACATTTTCTCAATTTATAGTTTAAATAAATAATTAAAGAAATCAAAGAATTAAACAATATTTATTTATTTAATTAATTAAGTATTTTTGTTAATTTTAATTAGTAACAACAACATAGGTTCAGATGGGGCGAAAGCAGTTGCTTCCAAAATAGCTAAATATACTAATCTCTCCACTTTAAGCCTCGATTTCTAGTAATTTTTTACACATTTTCTCAATTTATAGTTTAAATAAATAATTAAAGAAATCAAAGAATTAAACAATATTTATTTATTTAATTAATTAATTAAGTATTTTTGTTAATTTTAATTAGCTCTAACAACATAGGTTCAGATGGGGCGAAAGAAGTTGCTTCCGAAATAGCTAAATGTACTAATCTCTCCACTTTAAGCCTTTGGCTCTAGTAATTTTTTACACATTTTCTCAATTTATAGTTTAAATAAATAATTAAAGAAATCAAAGAATTAAACAATATTTATTTATTTAATTAATTAAAAGTATTTTTGTTAATTTTAATTAGGTTGAATAGTATAGGTTCAAATGGGGCGAAAGCAGTTGCTTCCAAAATAGCTAAATATACTAATCTCTCCACTTTAAGCCTCAACCTCTAGTAATTTTTTACACATTTTCTCAATTTATAGTTTAAATAAATAATTAAAGAAATCAAAGAATTAAACAGTATTTATTTATTTAATTAATTAAGTATTTTTGTTAATTTTAATTAGGTTTAACAACATAGGTTCAGATGGGGCGAAAGCAGTTGCTTCCGAAATAGCTAAATGTACTAATCTCTCCACTTTAAGCCTCAACCTCAGGTAATTTTTTACACATTTTCTCAATTTATAGTTTAAATAAATAATTAAAGAAATCAAAGAATTAAACAATATTTATTTATTTAATTAATTAAGTATTTTTGTTAATTTTAATTAGGTGGAGTAGTATAGGTTCAGATGGGGCGAAAGCAGTTGCTTCCGAAATAGCTAAATGTACTAATCTCTCCACTTTAAGCCTCAACCTCAGGTAATTTTTTACACATTTTCTCAATTTATAGTTGAAATAAATAATTAAAGAAATCAAAGAATTAAACAATATTTATTTATTTAATTAATTAATTAAGTATTTTTGTTAATTTTAATTAGTAACAACAACATAGGTTCAGATGGGGCGAAAGAAGTTGCTTCCGAAATAGCTAAATGTACTAATCTCTCCACTTTAAGCCTCAACCTTGGGTAATTTTTTACACATTTTCTCAATTTATAGTTTAAATAAATAATTAAAGAAATCAAAGAATTAAACAATATTTATTTATTTAATTAATTAAGTATTTTTGTTAATTTTAATTAGGTGGAATAGTATAGGTTCAGATGGGGCGAAAGTAGTTGCTTCCGAAATCACTAAATGTACTGATCTCTCCACTTTAAGCCTCGATTTCTAGTAATTTTTTACACATTTTCTCAATTTATAGTTGAAATAAATAATTAAAGAAATCAAAGAATTAAACAATATTTATTTATTTAATTAATTAAGTATTTTTGTTAATTTTAATTAGCTCTAACAACATAGGTTCAGATGGGGCGAAAGAAGTTGCTTCCGAAATAGCTAAATGTACTAATCTCTCCACTTTAAGCCTTTGGCTCTAGTAATTTTTTACACATTTTCTCAATTTATAGTTTAAATAAATAATTAAAGAAATCAAAGAATTAAACAATATTTATTTATTTAATTAATTAAGTATTTTTGTTAATTTTAATTAGGTCTAACAAGATAGGTTCAGATGGGGCGAAAGCAGTTGCTTCCGAAATAGCTAAATGTACTAATCTCTCCACTTTAAGCCTTTGGCTTGGGTAATTTTTTACACATTTTCTCAATTTATAGTTTAAATAAATAATTAAAGAAATCAAAGAATTAAACAATATTTATTTAATTAATTAATTAAGTATTTTTGTTAATTTTAATTAGTGGGAACGACATAGGTTCAGATGCGGCGAAAGCAGTTGCTTCCGAAATAGCTAAATGTACTAATCTCTCCACTTTAAGCCTTTGGCTCTAGTAATTTTTTACACATTTTCTCAATTTATAGTTTAAATAAATAATTAAAGAAGTGATAGAATTAAACATTAAATATTTATTTTTAAAGTAAGTCTCACCAACTAATAAAAATTAAAAATTTAGAATTTAAAAATGAAAAATATTTATAAATATTTCTAGATTAAATTTAAATGATTTTGTTTATCAGATTAATTTTAGCTACTATTTTTATAAAATTGATTAAAATAATGTATTTTGATAAAATTTTCTATTGATTTTATTTTAATAAAATTCGAAATAATATTAAAAAGAAATGTTTTCAAAGAATTTTAAATTAAATTTCAGAATAAATAAATATGTAATGATAAATTTTATACAAAATTTGTTAAAAAATTTAAATTAATTAAAGAAGTATATGCTTTATTAAAATTTGAAACTTAAAAAATTATTTAAAAATTTCCTTAATTTGTAAAATAAGGATTAGATATATTAAAAATAATTTCCTTGCCATATGTATTATAAATTTATATTTTAAAAATCTAAAGTTAAAAATTTAATTAATTAAGCCTGTTTAAAGGGTAAAATCAACAACAATTATTAGATTAATGAGTATTAATATAAATGAAAATCTTTTAAATTTAGACTTGTGATATTGTTTAAAAAATGAAAAAATGTGATAATTAATGAATTAATTATATTATTTTAATTAATTAGAAATAATAATTTAGATGGAAAAATTTCTTTTGAGAATTACTTTGACAAAGACATTAGCCTTAATATAAAAATATGAATGAGTTAAAAATATTAATTAGGCAGTTTTATGATTTATAGTAAGTTTATAAATTAAAAATTATGAAAATTTGATTAGGTTTATATATATTTTTTTTCTAGTAAAAATAAAATAATTAATAAAAAAATAAATTAAGACTAATTTTAATTTTAATTTGTGTGAGTAATTGTTTTATAAAATATTATAAAAATTTTATTAAATTTATTATAATTTTTAAATAAAAAGAATAAAATTTTTTGAAAAAATTCTTCTGTCCTTAGATGAATGGTTCTGTCAAAAAATTCTACAAATTTAAAACCATGGTGATAATACTATTTATTAAGTATGTGTCTTTAAATTAATGGCTCTACTCCTCTTAATATTCTTATACTTTTAAATACTAAGTTTTTCTATATTTTTAAGAGTG